CTGGCTTGACTAGGCCTCACAGTGCCCTGCCATACTCCTACCCACCTCTCCCTGGCACCTAGCAGCTCCTAGTGAACTAAGGCTTTTACTCTCATGATGGCGAAAATGGCAACAACCCCCTCTTTGGGCCCTCTGCCTGCCTCAGGATCCCTACCTTGCCGCCTCTTGGCAATGAGACTATGGATTTCTTTAGCAGGATGTCTCCCGACTCCTATGGCTCACTGGATCATTGGCACAGCACTAATGGGCAGCTCAGCAACCCCAGAGCCTACTTGCAGCATGCCACCTACTCCAGATGTAAGGACAGGTTTGTTTCTGCCATCTGAAGCCAAGAAGGAACTGGAGTTGGGAGAAAATGGTGCCACAGGGCCAATATTGGCTTCTTGGGCACAGCCTATGCCCCCTCTGCTGTCCTCTGCTTCCCATCCCAGTCATCCAACTTTGGCCTGAGATCCCTTATGGCACAGCTGAGTCCAGAGCTGGTACAGCAGCATAGACCCAAATGAATTCTTACTCTCAGGCTGGCGAAAATGACAACAACTCCCTCTTTGGGCCCTCTGCTGCCTTAGGATGCCTACCTTGCCGCCACTTGGCAATGAGACTCTGGATTTCTTTGGCAGGATGTCTCCCAGCTCCTATGGTTCACTGTATCATTGGTACAGTGCCAACGGGCTGCTCAGTAGCCACCTAGCCTACCTGCGGCATGCCACCTACTCCGGCAGCATGGACAGATTTACTTCTGCCGTCTGAAGCCATGGCGTTGGGAGAAGATGGCAGCACGGGGCCAGTGTTGGTCTTCATTCCAGCTGGTCTGTGTGTTGCCTTAACTTTGTGCGTACCATATGCATGCTGACCTTGCAATGTGGGGAGGGTGGTGGCACTCCTTTGCCCAATGTGACTGGCATGGATGGCACATCCAGGGATGGATGCCTCATTGGGGACCCCATTGAAAGGAACTCAGAGGAAGGGGTTGACCAAAATTTGGTCCATGCTTCTCAGCGACTATGGCTACATCCACACTGTAGAACTAATCC